TGAGGACAGCGAAGGTGTTTGAGTAGAAGCCTTTCATATGGGTAATGTGCTTGATACTGTGAAGCTGGGTCCAGTTCCTTTCAGAACAGTAAATCTACTCATGCTTCCGAGCAACTTTGCAGCACTCTTGCCATGACAGCATATCACAGGAACTAAGATTAGGATCACGTTCTAGCTCGAAGCTTCTACTCCAGTGTTGGAGATCAGCTCTTGCAAATAATCTTTAATCTGGCTCTTCCAAGTGCACAGACTTCCTTGTCAGAAAGGACACGTGGGTAAAGGAGCAGAGAATGACAAGAAGTCTGAGGCAGATGTTTTTTCTCTTGACAGAAACCATGGCGAGTCCTGCAAAGGATAACTATCGAATGAAGAGTTACAAGAACAAAGCCCTAAATCCCGAGGAAATGCGTCGGAGAAGAGAAGAGGAAGGAATTCAGCTGCGCAAACAGAAACGAGAGCAACAGGTAACTGTCAGCTTGACTAGCTTGTGTACAGCCTTAACACAACCGAGATTGTGCTGCTGCCAAACTGGAATCTTCAAGGATCTGTGCATTAAGGTTCGTTGGCAGTCCTCTTATTTTTCTTATTCTAACTGAGATCTCGCCTTTCTCTTTTTGCTTTGTACCTAATACTGAGTGTAGCTCACATCAAGAGCTCTCCAGGCACTTCCTCCATGAGGTACTGGAGGTTTTTGTTTACAGATCCTTGTTTCTAAAGGTGTTTTTGAGTTTTTTATTAATTAGTGAATGGGGTTATTTCCTCGAGAAGCAAGAAGAGCAAGTGAAAGTATGGGCTGCACATATTTCTTAATTCTGAGCTGGCTTTTTTTGGCTTGGAGGTCTATGAGAGTGAGAGGTGATTCCCAGGTGATGTATGTGGCTTACACTAAATATTTGCTCTATTAGTGTGTCATGTGCACGTTGCCTTCTCCTGAGATTCCCGAACTTGTTAGGCTGAATTCCACACTTGCCTGTTCCAGTGTCTCAGTGACTTGAGCATTTGCATATCTGAAGGCAAGACTTAGCATGTTTTATTGTTGAGGTTTGTATGCCAAACTAGTCTGCAGAGTGCAGAGCTGTTATTAATGACTGCTTTTCTCTTCAGGTTGTGTTTCGTCTAGCTGACAGTATCTTGTTTGAGGAACAAGAACGTCTAGTTATGAAAACTGTTCATCATTGCTTTCTAACAATGCCTCCTGTGTTTTGTTCCCCACCAGCTCTTCAAAAGAAGAAATGTGGAGCTGATCAATGAAGATGCCTCCATGTTTGATAGTCTCCTTGTGGATTCCTACGTTAGTTCCACAACATGCGGGGTAAGGTGCCTTTCCTTGTTGCAATTGTGCCTTCGGATAGGTTTGATGCTGTGGACTGCCTAGAACTCACAAGCCTCAATGTTTTTGTTTTCTCACTTGTGAAAATGTTACGAGTGTTACTACAGTGAACTAGAAAAGTCTGCCAGGAAGTAAATAGTGTGCTGTAATCTCAAATTGTGAATCTTTGGATTGCTAGCGAAGCACAAAGTCATGGCAGGCTGTCATGACTGTGATGCCTTAAATAATCTTAGTGTGAAATGGAACAATTATTCTGTCTCCTTTGCACCTTTTCAGGAGGGAGTGATCACAAGAGAGATGGTAGAGATGCTTTTCTCAGATGACCCTGACCTACAGCTAGCAACCACTCAGAAATTCAGGAAGCTACTCTCCAAAGGTAAAAATAACTCATCCCTGCTGTAGCATCTGACACAGCCTTTCTTCTGCAAGCGTTTGTGCATGTGTATTGCTGTGCAGAAGCTTAGCAGCTTTGAGGTGGGGGGGGGAGGGGGAAGTAAGTTATAATCTAGAAACTTGATAATCTGATATATTGCTCATGATTTACGGTCGTGTGACGTACACATAAGGTGATTACCCAGTTCAGAACCGCTTGAGATGATTCAATTCAGTAATAGTTGATGCTTGTTATTCCCTGTGTTAGACCAATATACTGTTTTGACATTGTCTTGCTATTTCAGAGCCAAATCCTCCAATAGATGAAGTGATAAACACTCAGGGAGTGGTGGACAGATTTGTTGAATTCCTGAAAAGAAGTGAAAATTGCACGCTACAGGTAAAGGAGACTGTGTTATGAATTCTGTGTGGCAGGTGGCTGTTTAACCTTCACAGCTTAGGAAGTTGAACCCACGGGTGTGTCCTGGTTTCAGCTGGGACAGAATGGAAAAGGAAAGGGGAAAAGTGATGTCTTGAACCCAAAAGGTGCATGTTGTATGATGTATAGGAGAAGAAAAAGGCAGCCTGTAATGCTTAGGCAAAAAAAAAAAAAATTTCTAAATTAAATTATTGGAAGAATACTGGCAGAAATAAGGTAGTCTGTTTCTGCTGAGAAGCTAGTGGAGCCACGGAATAAATGTGTAGGAAAAACCTGCATTATTGGAGGCTTTTAAGTACAGGCTAAGAGTCTGATAGAAATGGCTTAGGTAGTGCAGATCCTGCCGTGGGGCAGAGGGATGGACTAGGTGGCTTCTTGAGATTCCTTCCAGCTTGGTAATAACTACAGTTACTTTGTAGGGATTGAAGACACTTCCATACATGGAATTGGATCTGAGCTGATGACTGCCTTCATCTTTCTTCCTGCCCTCTGGCCCAAGGCCAGGTATCATAGGGGCTTACTTTCAGGAAGAACTGACTGAAAAACTTTTTTTTTAAACCAAAGAACCAGTGGCAAAAGCAGGGAACTTGCTGCTCATCTTCACCTGAACTCAAGGCCTCTTTGTGGTGTTAGCCAGACAAGAGGGTGGGCTAGAACTGGCTAGTCTGCACTAGATGAAGAAAACTTTGCACCCCATGTGTTTATGCACTGTGTCTTTGCTTTTCTTGCTGGAAAATGGTGGTATAGGTGAATGGATGTGGTGTGACTGACAGTGATGTCTTCACTTCTTAATCCTTTAAGAAGCTGTAGCCTCTGGGAAGGCGTTTAGCAGACGTGGTGGTTTTATTGCTCAAGAAAATCAAATCCTTTCCTTTGAGTATTGAGGTGTTCTGCTGTGATATGCTTGCTTTCTCTCACAACCTTTTTAGTAGAAGCTGAAAGGGTTATAGCCAAAATGTAATGGCAAATATTTTGCTTAATAGGACTATTTTATTCATACTTTTGTCATTTATTTGCTTGTTTCAGTTCGAGGCGGCGTGGGCACTGACGAATATCGCATCAGGAACTTCCCAACAAACAAAAATAGTAATTGAGGCTGGGGCAGTTCCTATATTTATAGAGCTGTTAAACTCTGACTTTGAGGATGTTCAAGAACAGGTAAGGCTCACCTCTTTCTTTGGGGTTAGGGAGAGAACCACAGTGCATTGCACGTGATTAAAATGCAGTGTTTAAAATGAGTGACTGGTGTCTAACAAAAATTGAAGTATTGTTTGCCTGGAATTACGAGGAAAATGCTTTCTTAGCACACTATTCTTTTCTTCCTCTGTTCAGAAACTGTGTGAATGCTAAAACTGTTGCTGTTTCCTTTCAGGCTGTCTGGGCATTGGGGAACATTGCTGGAGACAGCTCTGTGTGTAGAGATTATGTCCTTAACTGCGCTATTCTTCCTCCCTTATTAATGTGAGTAGCCATGAACACTTGCCAGTGCAGTTCTTGAAGTCCCATTGTCCTGCAGCAGAGCAGTATTTGAGCTGGGTGAATAGATTCCCTAGCAAAGTGTGCTGATGTTCACTGAGAACCAAACCATTTCTACCAGATAAACTGGCAGTTCAGACAAGTATCTGATAAATAGTGTGGGACTTGGTAGATAACATGCCTTCTCACAAACCTTTACACTGCTCTGAATCTGAAGTGGGTGCTGTTGCAGCGTGGGTGTGTTTCTGAAGTCACTGTTTCACTGTGTGTCCCTCCAGATCCCTGTTCTTTGTGCTTATGCTGTGGATTTCAGGGGCTTGTCTGAGTGGGCTCCTCTGGGACTGAGGAAAGGGAGCAGGTCTCTGCACACCACCTTGCCTCTGCAGCTCTTGTGGTGCACGCCCGCCGTAGCCAGCAGATGTGTCTGTCAGGCCTGTGCTCTCCAGGACTGTTCACAGCTCGGGAAATAATTAATCTTCACTTTATCCTGTCCCTGGCAAACTGGTGCTTTGTCACAAATGACTTGGCTTGTTACACTGCTGCTTCTGTCAGTCGCCTGCCAGCAGCGATTGCTGACCGAAGCCCGAAGCCCACAAGACTCGCTGTCCTCGTTAGAGTTGAGACAGCAGTTTGTGTCAGTTGGCTTCTAGTGAGGAGCATCTGACCTCAGATAGGGGTGTGAGTGTCTGCCTGGGCTAAATTTGAACTTGGAACCGCGTTCGACTAACGTACCCTTCCTTCTGCAACTTGTCTGACGTGGGACTTGCCTTCCCAACTCACAACACTTTATGTTGTTAGGAATAATAGCTACTTATCCTAAAAAGTAGTTGCATGTCATGTGTTGCTTATTGAGAAGCTCAAGTGACAAGCAGCATGGCTACAGTAAGTGGAATAGTGGTTTGACTTTTTAAAAATCATACTAGTTTTCCTTCTTTTGATTCCCTTGCTGGTTTCCACATCAAGCATTATAATTCATGGTAATTGTCTCTTTAGGCTCCTTACGAAGTCCACCAGGTTGACAATGACACGAAATGCTGTCTGGGCCTTGTCAAACTTGTGCAGAGGAAAGAGTCCGCCACCTGAGTTTGATAAGGTGAGAATAAACGCCCTGTTGGCAGACAGGTGATGGGGAGACACCCAGTCAAGATGTTAGTCTAAATTATTTTTGGCTGTCGGACTTCTGTAAGTCATTCTGGGAGGGAACAGGGTGAGGTTGTTCCTGCTGAGGTCGATGCTACTGTTCAGCAGATGTCTGGGTGCCTGTTTAATTTTGTGCCAAGCTTTCTGCTCGACTCTATGGGCAGCCTCTCAGCTGCACCCCTCAAGTCAGGGGCAAGCCCAGGCTTCCCTGCAGGGTATCATGCACTGGGCTTCTCTGAACCCTGTTTTGAACTTTGGAAGTTTAAGTCTTTGCTCAAATTGTGACTAAAAACTTGATTGAGACCTCTCTAAATGCTGCAGGACTGCTGTGTCTTTGAGAGTGGTGGAAGCTTTCCTCTTTAACTCCTGGTGTGCTGCTGGCACTACCAAAAGGTGCTGCTGGCCTTTCAGGTGTCTCCTTTGGTAGAACAAAAATGTTTTAAGATGGATGTGTTTCACTTTTTTAAATGAAAGCTTATGTGTCAAAGCTGGGAAGCCTGTGGGTGAGGGATGAAATCTGACTCGAGTGTAAATATAATAACACTTAAATGATTGAAGTACTCAGAGGTGCAATGGTTCATGGTTGCTGCTCTGAATACTGAGCTATTTAGGGTTATTAAGAGTAAGAAATGGAACAGTGCTCTTACGTAAGAAATGTAAGGAGCTTCCAAACGTTGGCATGTGCAGTAGCACTTATCTCAGGAGTCTAGGCTTGCTCCAAGAGGAAGGGATGTCATTTTAGTTTAGCAATAAAGCTCTTGAGGTACCTTCAGACACTGTGATGATGAGATACGTGAACCAGCAAGGAAGCTGCTGACTTTGGGGAAGGAAACTGAGGACGTTCGAGACTTATCTTGCCAGTCAGCATAGCCATACGATGTTTGCATGTGAATGTGGTGGTCCCCGACAGAACGTGACTAACCTCCTGGGGTGGGGGCTGTTGTTGTAGGTGTCTCCCTGCCTGCCAGTGTTGTCCCGATTATTATTCAACAGTGACTCTGACTTGCTGGCAGACGCATGTTGGGCTCTTTCCTACTTATCAGATGGCCCCAATGAGAAAATTCAAGCAGTTATTGACTCAGGAGTGTGTCGGCGACTGGTGGAGCTGTTAATGTAAGTATCTGGTCTCGCTGCTTCAGCCCAGTGAGACTGGGAAGCGCGTGACAGCATGAGTTCCTATCAAAACCTCTCAGAGCACCCTTCCCACCTCTTGTGGGCGCAGGACCCAGTGATGGGTGTGCCTGAGCTGACTTTGGAGCAGTTATGCAGGAGGGTCTGAAGCAAGTGGAGAGCTGCTCTTTACTGGCTTTCCTTTCTGAGGGAAGCTGGGTGTTTTCTGGTGCTGGAATGCTAGTTAATAACATGTGCTGGGAAGAACTTCCTAAAGAGTGGTCGGACTGATGCGTCTGTGAAAGGAGAGAGGTCTGCAGAGTGTCTTGTGCTCTCAAACTTCAAATATGCTTGGGGAAGCCTAGTTACTAGGCAAATCAAAGATGGCAAGGATACTGTCTAGCAAAAGTCAGCTTGGCTTTTTCTCTGATACCTATGTGGAAACTTGGATAAAAATGTTTGCTGTTTGCAGTTTGAGTGGGCCTCTTCCCTTTAATCTTCAGAATTGGTAGAACTGCAAGATACTTGCTTCCAAAATTATCCTGAAAAACTCATTGGGTGTTCTCATTGGGTGAACAATAGCTTTGTTCAGGAAAGTGATGTAAAAGGTGAGATCTGTAATTAAGCTGAAGATGGAGTAAAGATGTTAAGGATGAAAACTGTCTGTATTGCAAGTTTGTCTTCACTCCCTGCTTATCCAGTGGCAATATGGTCAGCTTATTGTATGTTCCTATATGCTAGGAGATGGGATTACAAATAAATAATGCAGAGGAGATGCCGGGGAGAATCTTCTGAATATCCAGGTGTGTGTGATCTGATAGATTTGGGTTTGTCCTTGCACCATCTTTCCTGCAGGCACAATGACTACAAAGTGGCCTCCCCAGCTTTGCGAGCAGTTGGCAACATCGTGACAGGAGATGACATCCAGACCCAGGTGAGAGGAAGCTACTGTCCTGCAGGGAAGTGCAGTGCCCAAATAGCATGTTCACTGTGTGAAAAGTGAAAGTATTTAGCTCTGTACCTCATACTGGTGATCTCACTTCTGCTTTTTTTTTTCAAAAGGTGATTCTGAACTGTTCAGCCTTGCCCTGTCTCCTTCATTTATTAAGTAGTCCCAAGGAGTCAATCAGGAAAGAAGCCTGCTGGACTATATCTAACATCACAGCAGGAAACAGAGCACAAATACAGGTACAGTCTTCTCCAGCTCATCCGTAATGATCCTGGATTCCAAACTCAGCATTAAGGATTTTCGAATTTCTTATCTGACACTTAGAGGCTGGTTTTGTTCACATCTTTTCTTCTGCAGTAATTTGCAAATTTGCAGCTCCCAGCCATCTGCCAAACGAGCTAAAAAAAGCTTGCTAATTGTACCAACAAAGACTGGACTGAAATGGGTCCCACAGGCTGGATCCTTGGAATAAGAGGAGATACAGCCCCTGTTTCTCCATGCTCAATTAGAGATACCCCTTTGAGAAGCTGGAGCTTGTGGAGTTTGAATTATCCTTTTAATGACCTACATCCAAAGGCAGATGAGTGATGAAAGCATTCCTACAGTATTGCTGCAATAATAGGGATTGTCTGCTGTGCTAGTTCTGGAATTGAATATCCTGCGTTAGTAGGACTTGGCTGAGGAATAAAATGGAGGAATCACTGAAGGGTACAGCTTGGAGAGTTCGTTTGCATTGGAAAATGGAGGCAGAGGTTTTTTTCAGGTACTTAACAGCCTTGTAGAAACTGCTGTGCCAATTCAAACACTTCTCTCTCTCTCTCTCTCTCTCTCTCTCTCTCTCCAGGCAGTCATAGATGCAAACATTTTTCCGGTACTGATAGAAATCTTGCAGAAAGCAGAATTCCGCACGAGGAAGGAGGCAGCTTGGGCTATTACAAATGCAACGTCAGGAGGAACTCCAGAACAGATCAGGTACTCCCTGTGGCTCCTCTCAGGGGAGGTGGATGGTAGCTTGGTCTTAAGGGCACTGCAGGACAAGTAGGGGGTGACTTGGAGAACCTCTGAGGGAATACCTGAGACACGGGCAGAGCTACAGCTGGATCATAGAGTGGGCTGTAAACTGTAGCTTCCTTCTGAATAAGGATAAGCTAGTCCAAAGTATTCCCCTCTTCCCCTTTGGATAACCAGGCTAAAAGTCCAAACTTGACAGGTTAAATTCCAGAGTGGACTTAATTTGTGTAGCATCTGGATTTCAAAGGGAGTTAGCAGCTTTCTTAGAAGAGGGAGTGTGTATACAAATGCAAATAAGTGGATAAAATTCACCATGTAGAACAGCAAAAATACATTTAATGTTTTTGTGGTTTTGTTTGACTCATTTCCCTTGCCCTTTCTAACTGAGAACGGTGATGTTTGCTGGATCCTGACCAAGTGCGTGTTGGTGGTGCTCTCTCTTCAGGTACTTGGTGAACTTGGGATGCATCAAGCCTCTTTGTGACCTGCTAACTGTCATGGACTCCAAGATCGTCCAGGTGGCGTTGAATGGCCTGGAGAACATCCTGAGGCTTGGAGAGCAGGAAGCCAACCAGAGTGGGACAGGCATCAACCCCTACTGTAGCCTGATCGAGGAGGCCTATGGTAGGTTGTGGCTGGTGGCCTCTGCTATTGGCTTTGAACACCACAGGGTGTACTGAAAGGTGGCTGCTGGTGGTGTTGGTTGCTCTTCTGCTACGTTAAAGGGATTTAGTGTACCCCCAACTCGCCAACGTTTGTTCTGATTGTCTTTTTAGACTCTTAGACGGGGCATAGGACAAAATACTAGAAGTAAAAACTATCGTACTTCTGATCCAAGCTTCCTGGACCTGGAGGCCAAGCTGATGATTGTGGCTTGCGCCAGTTGGGAGTATTAATCAGAAATAAGCTGAGCTAGGTAAAAAGTGAGACTTCTGGGTCTAAGATTGGTCTGACTGTGCCCAGTATACACTGCAGATGTGTAGTGGAAACCCAGGGAGACTTAGCTTTTCCCTGGAGTGACTTAATTTGGTGGGTTTTTTGTCCTGTTCTTAATGCTTTGAGGAGCAGTTCCTATTTTGGTCTGAAGCTCCCTGCGTACTGCCAGTGTCTGATTTGCCCTCTCACTGACTTGTGACATTGTGTGTCCTGATTCTCCCAGTAAGATTAACTCTTGAAATTCTTGAGAGTATATTGTGCCTGGATGCCTTCTACTCAGCAGTGGATTTAATGAGGACAGCTAAAGCTGTTGCTGCCCTTCTGCTGGAGGCTACTGGGACAGCCCCTGCTTCCTTCGCCTCCCTACCCCCCTGCAACTACCACACTGTTCATAGCCAGTTTTAATTTCACTGAAATCTGGTTTAGGCTCCAGCAGAGAGCTGGGAGTGCATCTGCATTAGCTGTGTCAGCTAAACCTGCTTTTGAAAAGATATTAATGCTGCCTGATGCGGATGAAATCCACAAGCAGCTCTGGAATAGTTTAGCTTTAGATGTCAGCGCTGCTCACAAAATGCAAATCGAACACAGGCATAGGTCTTGCAGTGAATAGGGGCATGGGTGATGGATGTGGGACAGTGTAAATGTCAGGATCTTCTTGTTTCATCATGTTCCACTTTTTTTTTTTTTCCCTTCCAAGGTTTGGATAAGATAGAGTTCCTACAGAGCCATGAGAACCAAGAGATCTACCAGAAGGCCTTTGACTTGATTGAGCACTACTTTGGAGTAGAGGATGACTCAGCTCTAGCTCCCCAGGTAGATGAGAACCAGCAGCAATTCATCTTCCAGCAGCCTGAAGCTCCCATGGAAGGTTTCCAGCTATAATGTGCCTGGGGGAAAAAGAACACCACAAACTTGCTGGAAAGCAACTGGGAGCAGCTGATCGTCCCATCTCCTCCTTGCAAATGGAAGGCTAAACACCCACTCCACCTGTTAGGAAACAATTCTTCCTTCAAACAACTAGCAACAGTGCTTTGTCCTCATGGAGAGAAGGGGCTGTTCTTACCCTTTTTTCTTTTTGCTGCTGCATACATGTCTTTTAAAGCAGGCACCTGGGTGGAGGAAGGACACTGAGGTAACAGATTGCACCTCTTGGTTTTTGGTTTTGTTTTTTTCCTTTGTGGTGATCTCTCCCAAATGTCACTTCTTACCTCGGGTACTTAATTGAGATTTCAGCATTGGGTTGGGTGAGAACACAAATAGAAGGTAAGCATTCTGACAACAATAATTCTGGAAACCTGGCTTGATCTATTTAATTTTTTTGCACATGTTACTCTTTATTAAAGACTCTAATTTGCCATGAGCAAATTTTAGCCCTGGCCTTTCTACAACCCTCCTTTGGCGGACAGTCCTGTTGAACCTGGGCCAAGTTCCCCTAAAATATACTGTAAATGGACAGAAATGGGAAGTTCTCCCACTCCTGGGAAGATTTTTCTGGGGTGAAGGCTTCTTCCCTTTGTCTAGATTTTTTGTTGTTGTTGATTTTGAAGAACTGCAAGTGGTATTTACAAGGAGAGGAGAAAAAAAAAAAGGCAACAAGACCCCAAAGATGGTCGGGATGCTTGGGTGGTTTTTGAAGCAGGAAGCACAGCTGCTGTTGCACAGGTTTCGCATTGCTACTGACCGAAGTCATGGAACTGTTGAAATGGTGAAAACCCATCTTCATCTTTACATGAAATATTTTTTTTTTTTCCATGAGAACATGCTTTGAGTTGTGGGTTTTTTTTCTGCCTTGGGCTGGGGTGGATCACGCTGTGGGTTGGAGGAAGAGGACGGTGTTGTGTGCAGTGTTCACGCGGTAGCAACACGCCCGAGTTCCCAGTTCGCCTGCTCACAGTCGGATCTTGTACATTTTGCTTCCAAAAGAAGAGAAAAGTCAAATCTCTGTATTTTTTATATTATATATAGGTGGATATTTGTCTAATTGGGCTTCAGAGAAAAATATATATGAAATTCCTGTACTGTATGTAAATAGAGCGCTGTGAGGCAGGCGCGCCTGGGAACGACGGCCCCGCTGCGGCTCCTCCGCCCGGGCGCGCCGTGACCGCG